TTTTAATTTACTTTTAATTTTATTTATAAAAAAAATTTTTAATTTGTTTTAACATGAATTTCCCCCACAATGAAAATCATTTTTTTATAATTTTTTTTTAAAAAAATAATTTTTTTTTTTTCCGAACTTAGAAATATAATTATATTTTTTTAAAATTATAAATAATAAATTGAGGTGAAAAAAAAACTTATTTTTGTGTGAAAGAGTCTCAAACTGCATTCCATAAAAAGTTTTTTTTTTTTTTTTTGTAAAAATTATGAGAGATTAAAATATTTTTTTTTTTTTTTAAAATAATAAGAGGGGGAAATATGATTTTTAAAAATTTTATTTTTATCAAAATATTTTTTTTTTTTTTCAAAAAATGATGATTTTTTGGCTTTTAACATCATTTTTATAAAAAAAAAAAAAAAAAAAAAAAATTAATTTAAATAAAAAAATTTTAAATATTGTCGAATAAAAATACAAATAAAGTAATGTATTAATGGTTTTTATTTATTATAATCAAAAATACACGATTTATATGAAGGATTTTTTTCGATCCTAAATTTTAGGAAAAAGGATCCGGATTTTCATTAGAAAATCTAGGATCAATCCTAGTTTTAAACCTCGATCCGATACTATAAATAAAATAAAATAATTATTATTGGCAATTCCTTTGTAGAAATTTGTGTGTGTGGTAAATTTCATTTTTTTTTTTATTTATCATCATTATCGATTTTATTCTCGAATAAACCGCAATAATTATAATTATCTGTTAATTGATAAAATAGATTCTATATAAAAAATAAATAATACAATGTATTTAAAAAGGATATTTTTAAAAATTTCAAAATAATAATATCTAATAAATGAATGTAATATTTCTTTTATAATAAAATGTGTTAATAAAAATAATTATTCTGATGATGTTCTCAATGTTTTATTTATTGACACAAAAAAAAATATAATAATAAAAAAAAAAAAAATGAAATATAAAAAAACAAATAAATTAAAAGAGTAAAAAAAAAAAAAAAAAAAATAAATGTAATGAAAAGAGTAAAAATAAAAAAAATGAAACTTATAATAAAGTAATGTTTTTGGGGGTGAAGATATTATAATTTATTATTTTTAAAAAAAAAAAATTAAAAAAAAAATTAAAAAAATTAATTTTGAATTTTTTTTATTTTTATTTTTTTTTATATTTATTTTTTTAAATTTATCATTATTCATTGTAGGTACTATTATAATAATAATAATAATAATAATAATAAAAATAATAGCAACATATAATAATAGTAATGATAAATATTTTTTTTCAAAATTGAAACAATATATATTAAGTGAAATACAAAGACACATTGCAACTGCAACCATAATAAACCAATTCTACTTTAATAGAATTAAATTTAAACATAAGATTATTGGGCTTATAGTCAAAAGAAAATTATGGAATTTAAATTAAAAGTAAGTGGTAATAACATTTAGACTAATTGATTATTGTTATAAAGTAAACATATGTAATAACACTTTAAATTATTAATTATAATACAGGCAGATGAATATATTAATAAAATTTAGAGACATAAAGCTTTTTTTAGAGATGCAAATTTAATTATTTTATTAATACAGAAAAGAAAAAAAAGAACAGCTACACATGTTTGATTTAGTAGAATGTGCACACTATTTAGATAATATAGAAGCATTGGAGTATTTCCTATGAATGAATGTACCAACATTTTTACCAAACTACACAATTAATAAAAAAAAGTTTTTCAATATCATCGATTAAATCATTATAATTACTATTAAAATATCGAGTAAATATCATAGAACCTTATAATATCAATATCAATAATATCAATAACAATAACAATAATAACACAACAGCAGCTTCATCATCATCATTCAGTTTAAGCAATAGTAATAGTAATAATTATACAACAACAGTAGCATTAGCATTCAGTTTAAAAAATAGTTATAGTAACAATAATACAACAACAGCAGCACCAGAATCTACAACATTCATTTTAAAAAATAGTAATAGTAACTATAATTTAAATAGTAGTATTAGTGAATATAGCAATCTAAATAATAATAGTATCAATTTAGCCCGAAGCGCAAGTTGTAGTAGTATAAGCAGTTGTAATAGTAATGATATCAATGGGAGTAGCAGTAGTAGTGGTTGCAACAATAAAAACAGTAATAGATTTTTAATTAATAATAGTAATATAACACTTCCACCATCATCATCATATAGAAATTTAAATAAAGAGGAATTAAAATCATCACCAATTTATATACTACATTTAAAAACATTTAATATCGGTAATATTCAGGAGGCATTAGATAAGTTTAATTCAAACAGAGCAGACTACCCAAAGATTACCTATGAAGTAATGAAGAAATGTCTCAAGTATTCAAATATTGAAGATTTAAAAAAACTATTTAAAGTAATCAGTGCATATTCTACAGGTATAATCCTTCCACATAAAACTGATTGAAGGAATATTTATTTAGAGTTGATGTTTATCATTTTCATCATTTACTTGGCCAGTTTACAATTATATAAAAGAGCATCAACTGGTAATCATCTAATGAAGGAGATACCACTGTGGAAAAATTCAATTCTATTCAATCATCAAGTATGTAATGTTATATAAATACAAATATATAAAGTGATTCCAGTTGATTATTAATTTTATAAAAAGAAATATTAAAACAATTCCAACTAAAACAAATATAATCAATATTAATATAAATAAATTTTTTAAAATTATTTTTAACAATTTTCATATAAATGGTCTTTTTTTATTATTTTTTTTATTATTAAATTAAAACATCATTTTTATATTATTATATTTAAATCACCTTTCTTATTATTTAATAAAAAAATTCTAATTATCTTATAATTTTTATATTTTTTATTATAATTGTTTTCAAAATTAAAACACTACATTTTAATTTTGATTAGTGGAAACATTTTTTCTTAAAACACCTAAACCTTTTCTAGTTTCTTCTAATTCTTTTTATAATCTAAGAATTGCCATTTATTTAACTTTAAAACCTGTTGCAGATAATTCATCGAAATCAATTTCTTCTTCTGAAGCAACCTTTGCAGCATAAGTTTGTAGCATTTTATACACTCTTTGCAGCATTTGTAAGTTTATGTTGTGATAGACTATTAATATAAGATTTACAAGCGATAAAAGTTGAGAGGTAGAGGAAGTGACAACTTTAGCAGCAGAGATTAAACCTTTAGCCCAAGTTGGATATTTTCTATACATTGGACCACCATTACTAGTTCTACCTTTTTCAACACGTTCTCTTTGAGCCAATGTCGCAGCACCGACCAAAGTTGATGAGCACTAGTAATTGCCGCTTCCAGAATAGCTTCAGCGACATCTCCTTCTTTCTTTGGTTCTATCTTTGACTTTGCAGCCAATAAAGAATTAGCCGTATCTTCAATGGTTTTAGCAGCTAATAATTCTCTTTCGGCACTATCACCGAGGTGAAACCACTCTCTAAATATTTCTTTTCTTTTTCCTGATCCTATTGGCATCGGCTTGTTGAGCTAATGCATCCAATGCATTGACACCACCTTTATATGAAGCTAAATTTTTTGCAAATCTCTTACGATCATCATCTTGACATTGACCACCTTGAAGACGTACACTTTCAAATAGATTTTGAGTGAGTGCACCAATTTTTCTAGTTGCATCCATAAATTTACTTTGTAATTCTGAATCTACAATTAATATTGAGGAACCTTTAGAGTCATGGAATAAATCTTTAAATGAATTGACAGCGGCGAAAATATCCATTTCTAAATCACCCACTTGATTACAAAGTTCATGTAAACGATTGGCTTGTTGCATATGGTGTAAAAGATCTTTGATTACCATTTGATGGGTGGCTTCTAGATTACCTAAACTATTTGGATTGTCGAGTAATTGAGAAACATTACCAAACTTGATTGTTTTTTTGAATTATTTGATTGATTGCTAAAATCCTGTTTTGATGATGGTTCATTACCTAATACTGAAAAGATTTCGGGTAGGCCAAACTCTAATATTCACTTTAGCTATTAGGACGCCGTCAACATTAAATTGTGGTGGTTAGCTTGATTTATTCTATATCTTGCATATTTTGATTTAATTAGAGATAAATTACCAGCATAAGTAGCAATCTATATGAGAATAAAGCAATACCAATTAACTGTGGATCATTTGTATTGCCTTCTTTACAATAGGATATGCACTTGTGAATTAAGTTGAATTAAACTTTTCTGTTAAACCAATTGTTTAAGAATGGCAAGCGAAAGTTGGAGTTACTTTATAGAATTTGTTCTATCACTGTTGCTTGGGCCAAAGCAAATGTATTAAGATTCATATAAATAGTTGATTAGATTGAATGTCTTCATCAGTGTTTAGTATTTAGTTGGATCTAAGTTTAATCTTTTATTTTGCCAATGTTTTTTTCATACATGATAACTGTGCACACTAGTGTCTATAAGAGCTGAATGGGTACATCCATTAACACTTTTTGAATTTTTACATGAACTTGTAATTGATTTGAATTTTGCTTCAGCTAATTAACCAGAGATTGAAAGACTTTGAAAGAATTTGAGTTTCTCCGACTTTGTGACTTTTTATGATTGTAATTGCTATAAATTTTGAGATTTTTATTATTATTGAGCAATAGTTCGTGGTTGGATTGGTATTTATTATTATTTGTAAATAGTAAAATCTCTTTTAATAGGTTCGCTGTGCATTTGATAAACATATGCTAAATCTTTATATAATTAATTAAAATCCCTTCATTCATGTTATCGACGACAGCTGATCCTGTAAGGGTATTAAATGATTTTAATTAATCTGTCTTTTGAATATTAATAAAAGTTAATTTATGTTAGTAATTCTGTTTCTATTTTCTATATTTCTTCAACGATGCCATTTTCTATGTATATGTGTTTGTTGCTGTTGTTGTTTTAAAATAATGTATTAATTTACTTACTTGTTCTCGAAAGGTTTTAAACATATTTTTCAGTATTGTTAAAATTACATGGTTACCAATTTAAATATTAGCTCCTCCATCTCTTCTGCATTTACTCTTATAGTACACCAAATATATACGGTTCATTTTGCATATAATATTCTCTTGGTGATATTTTTTGGCATCTTGATTCTTTGTACATGTCACTTCATGAATCCTCACCCAGTTTTTATAAATCTTCAATATTTGAATACTTGAGACATTTCTTTATAACTTCATAGGTAATATTTGGGTAGTCTGCTCTGTTTGAATTAAACTTATCTAATGCCTCTTGAATATTGCCGATATTTATTGTTTTTAAATGTAGTAGTATAATTTGGTGGTGATTTTAATTCCTCTTTAATTAAATTTCTATATGATGATGGTGGTACTATTAATATAACACTTCCATGAACCTTTTGAGTCAGAAATCTCTAATTTTCAAATTTGTTCATTTTGTAACTTTCTAAGTTGTTCAGCCTGTATCATCATTTTAGTTGGAAGCTAGTCATCGAGATTTCTTGGATCTACTGCTATTTTTTTGACTTTCTATAAACTGTTTGGTTTCTAAATCTTTTTCCATTGCTAAATTCTTTTTTGCAATTCTATAACCATTGATTTCTTCTGAAGTATTCAATAGGATGATTGGTGAACCATTAGTACCTGCATTTGAACTACCAACATTCGATTTCATGCTTTTAATCAATTTCTTTAAAAAACTAATACTTCTTTAAAATGAGTTCATCAGCATTGGTTTCTAAGCAAACTAATACTTCTAAAGAAGCATTCATTAGTTTGCTTAGAAACCAATGCTGATGAAACTTCTGATATACCAACTGGAGTATCATGACCAATGTTGGAAGATTCTTTACTGAAGAATTGTAATCTCTGATTTGGTATTGTGATTTTCGGATTGAAGATCTTCTTGGGCTAATTCTAATTTTTCTAAAAGTTCTCTCTTCTTTTTTTTAATGGTTATGAACTGTTAGCTGATGATGAACTACTATCTGATGAAATGCTATTTGATGAACCAATAGCTAATGATGTACTGGCTGATGATGATCTGCTATCTGATGAACCTTTTGAAAAGTCCTCTAATGCGTCTGAAGAGTCTTTCCAGTCTGAAGAGTTACCTGCTATTATACCTGTTGATATGCTGGTTGATCCACTTGTTGATGTGTCACCTGTACCACCTGTACCACCTGTACCACTTGTGCCATTTTCACCACCCGCAGTAGAACCACCTGTGGCAGCACAACCTGCAGCAGCACCCGCATCGATGGTCCTAAAAAATGTGAGGCGTTTTATTAATTATATGATAATAAGTCGAATTTGGTGATGTTTGGGTGTGACTGTTATTTCTTAATGAGGACTGCCTTTGGTTTGGCACTATATTGATTTTTAACTATTAATTTTTATAAAATGTTTTAATATTAGCTTTCTTAAAGGCTTCTAATAACTGAGGATTGATTATCGATTTATTGAGTTAATACTATTATTTTTTTTATATAGATGACTAAAATTGGAGTATTTAAAGATTGTGCTCTATTATTAAATTTATTTAATTTGATATTTAAATATATATTTGATTGTTTTTTGAATTATTTGATTGATTGCTAAAATCCTGTTTTGATGATGCTTCAGAACCTAATACTGAAAAGATTTCGGGTAGGTCATATTCTAATATTCACTTTTAGCAATTAAGACACCATCTACATTATTAAATTGTGGTGGTTAGCTTGATTTATTCTTTATCTTGCATATTTTGATTTAGTTAAAGATATGAGAATAAGTTGCAATCTGCATAGGTTTTAATTTACATTTCTACAATAAATAAATAACCTCTATATACTTGAACAGTTCTAATACTTGGCAATTCTGATTATAAGTTTGCATTTATAAAGTTGAAAAAATGGTGGGAGGTGCTAGTAGAAGGATGAAGCATAATACTATATGAGAATTTGAGTTTCTGACTTTGTGACTTTTTATGATAGTTATTGATATTAATTTGAGATTATTTTTATTATTATTTTTATTATTATTATTATTATTAGAGCAATAGTTCATGATTGGATTGGTGTTTATTATTATTACTTGTAAATAGTATAAAATCTCTTTTAATAGGTTCGCTGTGCATTTGATAAACATATGCTAAATATTTATATTTTTGATTAAAAACCTTTCGTTCATGATATCGACGACAGCAGATACTGTTGGGGGTATTGAATGGTTTTAATTGGTAAATATGCCTTTTGAATATTAATAAAAGTTAATTTAATTTATGTTTGTGGATCTGCGTCTATTTTCTATATTTCTTCAACGATGCTAATTTCTATGTGTGTGGGTTTGTTGTTATTGTTGTTGTTTTAAAATAATGTATTGATTTTCTAACTTGTTCTATAAAGGTTTAAAACATATTTCGCTAATGTTAAAATTATTATTTTTGGTTTGGTGTGCTATATTTTACATTATTAAAATTATTTGTATGTGTTTGTTGTGTGTTGAAAAAAATAAAAATAAAAATAAATAAAAAAATTGGGAAAAATTTAAAAATTTTTTTTTAAAATTATTTGAATTTTAAAAATAAATATGGCGGTAATGTGTGTTTTAAAAAATCTAATGAAAAGATGCCCCATAATTTTACAACACATTTTTAAATTTATATTTTTATTTTTTTTTTAAAAAATAGTTTTAATAAATTTTAGTATAAATAAAATTAAAAAAAATCAATCATAATAAATATAATAATAAATATAATAAATAAATATAATAACAAATATAATAATAAATATAATAATAAATAAATGAAATAGTAAATAAATAGTAAAAAAAATAATAATAATTAATTATTTATTTATGTCAAAGTAACCTTATTAATGGCCCGTAAGGGAGCAGGGGTGTGACATTCACATAGTGTTTGGCATCGTGGTAATCCTCCGTTTTTTAAACCATATTTCTTTAAAATATGGATATATGCCCTGGCTATATCAAATCATATATTATTGAATGTGGACCTCTTTAAAAAACTGACAGGTGAATGGCATAGATATTAATTATAATTATTTTTTTGAACTATTTATTTATTTATTCATATAATAATAAAACAAAAAAAAAAACAAATAAAAGTAAGCGAGCTTTTAAATTTTTTATCAAATACTGTAATTTTATGAATATTAATATTTTTTTTTTTAATTAAAAATGTATTTTTTTATTTATTTCAAATATTCTTTTTAATACCTTTTTTGCTTAAAAAAATATAATTAATAAAAAAAAAAATAAAAAAAAAAATATTATAGGTAATCAATATTTGCAAATTACAGAATTAGATTCATGAAAAAGAGCTAAACAAAGGGCTCAACATGCATGCTACCTTATCATTATAACTAAAATATTTACTTAATAATTCTATATTTACATTTTTTGATTATTAATTCATTTAAAATATACTTATATATTAAATTTTAGCAGAAATTATTATTTTGATAGCTTCATATCAAATTCAAGTTCATATTCTCACCATAAAATAATCCAACTTCGATCACAACTTCAGCAATGTAATCTACTTCAAAAAAATCATTCCACGCTGGTCATTTAAGTTCCTACTATTATTGTTAACTTTATGATCAAAATTCAAGAAGATTCAAGGCTAGCAAATATGAATATACAAGAAAATGAAGAATCAAGGCTGGTTTGGTATATTGATGGGTATAGGTATTAAGTAGGGCCCGCTTGGTATCTGCATTCTGAGATTTACCAAACCAAGGGCTAATTATTATACTGTGCGTGGCGGTATAATAGTTAGCTGTCGGCTCAAATATACTAACCTCCCCGTGGTTGAGCTGGAAACACTCTTTACAAAGAGTGGCTAATAGTATAAAAAAAATAAAATAAAATAATGGTATCAGTTCCATTTTATCAACTTTAAAAATTAATTATAAAATCTTTAAATCTTTTTTCTTTATTTTTTTTATATTTTTTTTTTTTTTTTTCTTTTTTTTATTTTTTTATTTTTTTATTTTTTTTTAAGTTATTAAAATCTTAAAGTTTGATGGTGGTGTCTTTGGTAATGTTTGGGAATATATATGTACATTGAAAAGCTATATTGATATTGATATTGGTCATCGTCGTAGAAGATGCTGTTATATTTACTCTAAAAATAAATTATATTACCTTAAACTGATTCGAGTAATTATTTATATTATTTTATTTTTTTATTTTAGTTTACCAAATTTATTAGTTCTGAACTGGTAATGGAGGTAAATGTTGTGGAGGTACCAATGGTGAGGTGTTAAATATATTAAATGGTGATGGTGGTGTTAAAATATTTGATGATGATGGTGATTTTTTTAAATAATAAGTTCCAAATTGATGATGAGATATTTTTTGAATTTAATGTTATGTTTGGTTTAATTCTACCACCAATGGCATTATTAGTATTGGCACTAACTGAAGAATTTGGTGATTGGCTATTTTGAGAACCTGATAAAATTGATGCTAAATTAGCACTGCCACATCTAAAAACTCTTGTTACACGGTTTAAATGATTAATTTAGATTCACTCTCTTGATTTGTTGCCAAATTATCTATTTATTATTTATTTAAACCAATAATATGTTGGCCTCTTAGGATGTGTAGTTTCTTTATTTTATCAATTTCTGATTTCTAACTGTTTCCAAATGAACCTTTTGAGCAGAGATCTCTAATTTTTTAAGTTGTTCAGCTTGTATCATCATTTCAGTTGGAGGCTTGTCATTGAGATTTCTTGGATCTACAACAAAAATGCTGCTATTTCTTTGACTTTCCAATAACGGTTTCCATTGCTAAATTCTCTTTTGCAATTCTATAACTTTCAAATTCATGTTTAATCTCTTTGATTCTATCACCATTGATTTCTTCTGAAGTATTCAATGAGATGATTGGAACTATTAGCACCTGCATTTGAAATACCAACATTAGATTTTGATGAATTTGATGCTACAGATTTTAATGGATTTCTTTGTAAAAGATTTATTTGTTCCGCTTAATCTTTGAATTCATCAGTTTGCTTAAAAACCAATGCTTCATTGATTTCTCGTATCGATAGAGGGGATAGATCCATTAGCATATACCAACTAGAGTATAATGACTAGTGTTGAAAAATTGGTAACTGAATTTATCTTGAAGAATTGTAATCTCTGATTTAATTATGTGATTTTCGGATTGAAGACCTTCTTGGCTAATTCTAATTGTTCTAAAAGTTCTCTCTTCTCCTCTTCTTTTAAATAATTGCTTTTCTAATGAAATGTATTTTCTTTTTAATACTTGATAATTTTCCCTATTGGTGGAGGCACTTGAAGCAGATTGTGAAGCAGATGAATGAGGGTAATCACCAAAAGACTTCTGACTCCTTAATATAACCTTTGGGAATTTTGATTTCGTTTTTTGCTTTTGATAACAGAATTTTAAGCTGCACTTCTTTCTTGATTAATTGCCTTATTCTTAATGTTTTGATTTTTCAGGTAGTCTTAGTGCACTACGTTTATATGAGTATTGTCTTGGTCTAACTGGAATTGTTTCTGGTTGTTGTTGTTGTGGTGGTATTGCTTGGAATTGTTTCTGGTTGTTGTTGTTGTTGATGTTGTGGTATTATTTGAACACCTACTTTGTATTTCTTGGTATGTTCATTTGTTTTTAAAGTTGTCTCTGAAAGCAGCTTATATCATTTGCTCCATTCTTTAATGATTTGTTAATTGCGGTGAGTTACCAGTTTATTGAAAAGTTGGTTCATAACCCTAATTTGCGAAAAATGGAGTGATTTAGTCGTGCTTAATACAGAATGACCATTTGTTTGGAGATGAACTGGTGTTGAAAAATTTAATTTGGTACCAAAATCTTTCATTTAACCTTTGTTAATATTAATTTTTGAATTATTTGATTGCCAAAATCCTGTTTTAATAATGTAACCTAATACTGAAAAGATTTCGGGTAGGCTATATTCTAATATTCACTTTTAGCTATTAAGACACCATCTACATTATTATTGTGGCTGTTAGCTTGATTTATATTATATCTTGTATGTTTTGATTTAATTAAAGATAAATTACGGGCATAAGTTGCAATCTGCATAGGTTTTAATTTTCATTTCTACAATGAATAAATAACCTCTATATACTTGAATTTTTTGATTCTTTTGGAACAAATGACCTATATATTAATTAAATTCCGCATAACTGGTGGCTTTAACTTTAAATACGTATTCTCTAGATTTCACCTGATAATTGTCCTTGTTGTTTGTTCGATATACAGTTCAGTTTGCATATAAAATTTACCTATTGATATTTTTGGCATCTTGATTCTTTGTACCTGTGGAATATGTACTGATTGCTCTAAATAGTTTTTCTAAATCTTCAATATTTGAATACTTGAGACATTTCTTCATTACTTCATAGGTAATCTTTGGGTAGTCTGCTTTGTTTGAATTAAACTTATCTAATGCCTCCTGAATATTACCGATATTTAATGTTTTTAAATGTAGTATATAAATTGGTGATTTTAATTCCTCTTTATTTTAATTTCTGTATGATGATGGTGGTGGAAGTGTTATATTACTATTATTAATTAAAAAGCTATTATTGTTTTTATTGTTGTAACCGCTACTACAGCTACTCCCATTGCTATCATTAATATTACAACTGCTTATACTACTACAACTTGCGCTTCGGGCTAAACTGGTACTATTATTATTTAGATTGCTATATTCACTAATACTACTATTTAAATTATAGTTACTATTACTATTTTTTAAAATGAATGTTGTAGGTTCTGGTGCTGTTGTTGTTGTATTGTTGTTACTATTACTATAACTATTTTTTAAACTGAATGCTAATGCTACTGTTGTTGTATAATTATTACTATTACTATTGTTTAAACTGAATGATGATGATGAAGCTGGTGTTGTGTTATTATTGTTATTGATATTATTGATATTGATACTATAAGGTTCTATGATATTTACTCGATATTTTAATAGTAATTCTAATGATATTATTGATATTGAAAAACTTTTATTATTAATTGTATAGTTTGGTAAAAATGTTGGTACATTCATTGATAGGAAATACTCCAATGCTTCTATATTATCTAAAGAGTATGCACATTCTACTAAATCAAACATGTGTAGCTGTTCTTTTTTCTTTTCTGTATAGTAAACTAATTAAATTTACATCGCTAAAAGTCTCTAAAAAAGCTTTATATCTCTAGATTTTATTTATATATATTCATCTGCCTGTATTGTAATTAATAATTTAAAGTGTTATTACATATGTTTACTTTATAACAATAATCAATTAGTCTAAATGTTATTACCACTTACTTTTAATTTAATTTCTAATAAACTCCATATTTTCTTTTGACCATAAAGCCCAATGATCTTATGTTTAAATTTAATTCTATTAAAGTAGAATTGGTTTATTGTGGTTGCAGCTGCGGTTGGGAATGTTGGATGTATCTATTGTAATGTTTCTTTCTGCAATATCAATTGTACCACGAACTAAAAAATATCATTGTTTAAAACCATTCGAACTGTCTCTAATTTCTAATACATTCAATATTTTATTTTTATTTTTTGATTTTAATATCTTTAAATCTGAAACTAATTGTCCAATAAAATCAATATCTAAAAATAAAATGAAAAATTAATTAATATATTTATATTATTTTGTAAATAAATAGGTATGGTATCATTTAAATATGTGTATAAACTTACTTTTTGATTCAACAACTCTTAACTGATAGATTGTGTAACTATCACTTCCCAAAGAATCTAATGAAATTGTATAACTTATATCACATGTGTAATTATACCTTAACTGATGTGTCTTTGTATTTCACTTAATATATATTGTTTTTCCATTTTGAAAAAAAAAAAATTTATCATTACTATTATTATATGTTGTTATTATTATTATTATTATGGTAAATTCGGTAAATGATGATAAATTTAATAAAAAAAAAAAAATTCAAAAAATTCAAAATTAATTTTTTTTTTTTTTTTATTTTTTTTTTTTTAAAAATAAATTTTAAATAAAATATTTTTTTTTTTACCACCCTTTTCATTCACATTTTTTTGTTTTTTTAACCAATGCGATATTCCTATCAGCTTTTCAACAAACACAGAAACAGATAAAATGGAAATAGAATATAAAATTGTTCCAACTGAAATTATTTATTTATTTATTTATTTATTTATTTATTTATTTATTTATTTAAATTTATTTTATTTTTTTTTTAAATAGTTTTTAATTTATAATTATCTTTCTAACAGAAGTTTTAAATAATTATTTTTATTTTTTTTGAATGTATAAAATTAGGGTTTTAATTAATTAAAATATAATTAAGAAAAAATTAAAAAAAAAATTAAAAAAAAAAACTCAATAATTGATTTTTAATCAGTGGGGGTTGTATTTAGTTTATATGAAAAATTATAAAAAAAAAAGATGAGACACATTTCTTTTTTTTATTTTAAAAAAAAAAATAAATAAATTCACACAAACTCTTATTTATTATTTTAAAACATTATTATTTTTATTTTATTATTTAAATAAAAATATACATTTTTAATTTTAATAAATTATTATTTTATTTATTATATAAACAATATATAATGTAAAATTTCTAAAAAAATAAAAAAAAAAAAAAAAAAAAAACAATAATAAAACAAAATTAATTTTAAAATATAATTTTATCTTTTTTAATTAAATTATAATACACATTTTTTTTATTATATTATAAATGTATTATTTTATAAATAGGGAAGATGATTTTTACAAATGATATATTATTATTTCATCTTCGCTTTTAAAAAAAATGGTTTAAACAAAATAATTATGACTAAAAAATGTAATACATCTTTAAATAATATTTATTTTATTTTTAAAGTTTACTTTTTTTAAGTTCTATTCTTCTTTTATTTACAGCTAATTTTCCACCTATAATAAGTGCAACATACCCCGAACCACTTTTTTTTTTTATATGCAAAAAAATAAAAAATTACAAATAAAAAAAAAAAGTGTTTCGAGGTGCACCAACAACATTTTCTACTACTGCAACTGGTATATTAATTCCAATGGTTATTGATTCTTTGGTAGGATATTAGCAATGTTGTGATAATTTTTTATAGGTTAAACACAGAGACACCAAAATTATTTTTATTGTTTTTTATGAAGAAAAGAAAATTGATGTCTTGGATGTTGAGTTTAGGTATCTATCTTTAAATCTGAAACCAATGGTCCAATAAATCAATATCTAAAAATAAAATGAAATATTAATTAATATATTATTTGAATCTTGGTAAATTACTACTTTTTTTAATTTATTTAAATAGAAGAGGAAAAAAATTAATTTTTTTAAAAATTATTAAAATTATTAAAATTATTAAAATTATTAAAATTTTTTTTAAATTTCCATTTTTTTTTAATTTAAACTAAAAATTAAAATCCCACAATCTTTTTATTTTTATTTTTTTTAATTGTTTAAATTAATTTATTTTTATTATCTATCAACGAACTAGGTGCTGTAAGCTTCCGACTAACGTTCAGTTACGAGGGGGAGGATTTTCCATAGTTTTTCTTTTGTTGTTTTTTTTAAAAAATGATTGTATAATTCATTTTATGAATTCTATGATTATTTTTTTAAAATTTAAGTTACAAGTGGATAAATTATCAATAATACTTGTGAGTTGAATTAAACTTCTCTGTTAAACCCTATATTAATAAATTTTGATATTGATATAAATAAAAATATAAAAAATAATTATAAATATTTTTTTTTTTATCCGATATTTTTTTAAATTTACCTTTTTAAAATGTTATTTATTGTCCAGATCTTGTTACTCCAGATAGAAGTAGTATGCACCAGAAACCATTGAAACCTTCTTATTATATAAATTTTATTTAAAATTTTTAAAAGAATTTATAAATAAATAATTTATAAATCAACAATAATTAATAATTAAATTTTTTTAAAACAATATTGTTTTTTTCGAGTTTATTCAATACTATTTTATCAATTGTAATTATATCATGAAGAGCTATATTTAATAAAAAGGAAAATCGTAAAAAATAAACATATTATTTATAAAAATAAAATTTTATTATATTTTATATAAATATTTAATAATATTTTATACAAAAATTTATAATATTTTATTATATTTTATTTGAAAATTTAATGATGTTTCAGAATCCTTATACTAATTGATGTTCCAATATATTTGCCTGGCCAGGGAAAATGTATTTCTTCCATCAAATAGATTATATTCTATTATTATTATTTTTTTTTTTTTTTTTTTTTTTTTTTTATAAAATTATTAATTATTATTGATTTACTAAAAGTTCTTTTCTAAAGCTTTAGGGTTGATGATGCTGCTGCTTATGAAAGTTGATGCTGATGATGATGAATGCTGATGATGGTGATGGTGATGATGATGAGGACCAAGACGAATGCTGATGATGGATGCTGCTGATGATGATAATGCTGAGGACCAAAACAAATGCCGGTGTGATGCTCATGATGTTGATGATTATGAGGACCAAGATGAATACTAATGATGATGATAATGCTGAGGACCAAGATGATAATGCCGAGGACCAAGACGAATACCGGTGAGGATGCTGATGATGATAATGCTGAGTACCAAGACGAATACTGATGATGAATGCTGCTGATAATGATGAGGACCAAGATGAATGCCGGTGAGGATGCTGATGAGGACCAAGATGAATGCTGAGGATGAATGTTGCATATAAATGCTGCTGATGAATGCTGCTGCTGATGATAATGCTGAGGACCAAAACGAATGAATGCTGAGGAATAAAAAAAAAAATTAGTATTTATTTTTATTATATATTATATATATATATATAATTACCTGTTTGTTTGTTCCCTTGGCTATTATAAAAATAAAATAAATGTATATTGATAAAACGAAAATAAAAATGAAAAAAAAAATAAAATTTTCCCCCACACACCACGAAAAAAAAAAAATGAAATTTACCACACTCACCAAATTTTTACAAAGGAATAATACCAAATTGAAAAAGATTAAATCCATCTATAAATTTTATAAAAAAATAAAAATTAATTATGTGTTATTTATATATTTTGATGTTAATTTTAATATGATAATTTACTTATTTACAACGGTATGTACATGGGTATGGTGAGTTTTGTGGTGTTGGTTGTGGAGTTGGTGTTGGTTGTGGAGTTGGTGTTGGTTGTGGATTTGGTTGTTGTAGTGATAGTTGTAGTTGTTTTAGTCTTTGTTGTATTTTTCGGACTAGTTGTACTAGTTCTAGATCACGTTGTTGTTGTTGTTGTTTTTGTTGTAGTCGTTGTAGTCGTTGTAGTTCTAATTGTAGTTCTAGTTGTAGTTTTCTTTTTCGTATTTCTAGGTGTTGTAGTTCTAGTTTCATTATTCCTAGTCCTTGTTTCAAATTTTTTAGTCGTATTAGACCTTGTTGTATTTTTAGACTTTCTTGCATTATTTCTAGGTCTGGTTCTTGTTCTATTTGTTGTTGTTGTTGTTGATTTTTTTGTTGTTGATTTTTTTGTCTATAACCAGGGGAGTCAGCATTGGAATAGGCGTTGGTGTTGGTGTTGGTGTTGGTGTCAGCATTGGAATTGGCATTGGTGTTGGCGTTGGCGTTGGCGTTGGCGTTGGCGTTGGCGTTGGCGTTGGCGTTGGCGTTGGCGTTGGCGTTGGCGTTGGCGTTGGCGTTGGCATCAGCATTGGCATTAGCGTTGGAGTTGGCGTTGGTGTTAGCGTTGGCGTTGGCGTTGGTATCAGCATTGACGTTGGCGTTGGAGTTGGCGTAGGCGTTATTGTTGGCGTTGGTATTGGTATTGTTGGTGTTGTTATATAAATGTTGAATAATATATAAAAGTGAAACCCCAATGACAATAACACAAAAATAATATAAATAATCCATTATTGATTTAAATACGGAGTGGTGATATGGATTATTATTTATAAGTTATTTATTATTAATAAAAATTATTGTAGTTATTAAAATATTATTGTATTTATTATAATATATAAAAAAATAAAGTTATATAATTATTTTTATGTTGACAAAATAATAAAGAAAAAAAAAAAAAATAATAAAAATTTAAATTTCAAGCTATGAAAAAATTAAAAAAAAAAAAAAAAATTTAAATTAAAAAAAACATAAAATTATAATTAAAAAAAAATAAAAAAATGATTATAAAAATTATGTGGGGGTTTGAAAACCCGGTTTTCCCAACAATCCCTTTTTTTTTAAGTTTTATTATTTGATGTTAAATAGTTTTTTTTCCTAATAAAGGAAAAAAAAAATCAGGACTACATGATTACAAAAAAAAAAAAACTAAATTAATCACTATAAATAAAGAAATGATAATTACATTTTTCTATAATATTATTTATTATTGGTTTATTTATTATTATATTATCTTTGTTTAATTATTTATTTATTTTTATAAATAAAACATTATTTTATAAAAAAAAATAATAAAAAAAATAAATTATAAAAATTAAAAATGTAAATAATAAAATAAAAATAATAATGCTTTTAACAAATAAATATATCAGAGTTTGTGTCAATTAATTTTTTTTTTTTTCAAATATAATAATAGAAATGTGTCTGTCAAATATAAAATTTATTTTAAATACAACCCCCACTCTTTAGAAATTTCTATTGAGTTTTTTATTTTTTTTTCTTATTAAATAAAAATATAATTAATAAAAAATATAAAAATAATTATATAAATTGATTTTAGAAGCATAATTAAAACTGTTGTTACAAAGATAACTATAAATAAATAATAAATTAACCAATTATAAATAATATTTTTTAAAAAAAAAATAAAAATAATTATCATTTTTTTCTTAAAAAAACCAATCTGAAAATATAGCTTTAATAGTTGTATATTGATCCATAGAAATTAAAAAACAATTTAAATGGAAATGATAATTATTGAATTAATAGATCATATTTAATATTTATATAATGACCTCTAAAATAAATCATATTACAAGATATTGGTTTATTTTCTAAAAATTAAAATAAAAAAAAAAAAAAAATAGGGTCTTAATATTTAATCCGTTTTTTCAATTTCAAAAATTTTTTTTTTTTTTTTATTTTTTTTTTTTTTCAATTATATATAAATGATTATTATTATTTAATATTTAGTATACCCTCCATGTGCTTTTAATATGGCATCCATTCGGTCAGGGAGTGATTCATATAATGATTTTATAATTGATTTTTCTATTGAATGAAATGCATCTTGACATACCTGAACTTGGTCTTGTGATGGGTTACCAAACATCTTTTTTGATACCCTTTCTTTGATAATTGACCAAAGATTTTTAATTATATTAATATCTAGACTGTAGGGTGGTAATGGATAAACTTGTATATTATTTTCTTCTAAATATTGTTTCACTATCTTTGCTGTATGCGAACTACAGTGGTCATGACAAATGATTGGCAACCTCTTAGGCACTTTATTTATATCTGCATATTATTCTAAATTTATTTGTGTATCGTTTTTTATAATATCAAGATATTGTTTAGTTCAAAATCCATTTGATAAATGAATAAATAAATTGGACCAAAATAAAGAAAATTTCCAAAAATATTTAATTAACCCTTTCTAAAATTTGTCTTGATACGTGATTCTAGTAAAACATTAGTGTCATAAGCCCAAGAAGACCTACCATGGTTATTATTTTTATATTGGAACTTTACTTCATCCACAAACATATAATTTTCTCATTATTCCTAGGGTAGAAAATTTAGTTTATTTTTTGAAAAAAAGGGTTTCTAAGTTCGGGGTCTATAAGTTCCATTTTTAAAGTCAATTTCTGAGTTTTAGTTTTTTTTTTATTTTTCCAAGTTTTAAAAACAAAAAAAAAAGTTTTTAATTTAAAAGGTGTATAAAAATCAATAAAAAAACAGTTAAATCATAATCAATTAATGTATATAGTAATGTGTGGTTGTTTCCCCCTTTTTTTTTTTTTTTTTTAAAATTTTTTTTAATTTTTTTTTAAAATTTTTTTTTTTTTTTATTAATACACATAAATATTGTTAAGAGGATTTTTAAATATATTTTATTACAATATAGCAGTTATATAATTAAGCGCAATATTTAAAATTAAAAATAAATAAATTTAATAAAATTTTTTTTTATATATCAATATCAAAATTTATTAATATAAAAATATAAAAAATTATTATATTTTAAAAAAATAAAAATAAATTAATAAATAATAACATTAATAAATATAAAATTATAAAAAATAAATATATTTTAATATTAATAACTTAATATCAATGGAAGGAACAAATAAAAGACCTATTACCACAAGAAATTCAATTTAAGATCTAGACAAAAAGCTATCAACATCCATAGCATTAGATATCATTTTACAAATGGTAAAGTATACATATTATTATTTAATTTATTGATTAAAAAATTATATTAATATCTTATTTTTAATAGATGGTAAATGTTTAGCAGCAAAAAAATATAGAGAAAAAAACAATCTTTCAAATGATACAATAAATACTCTAGGTTATCACTTTGCCAAAGAGAGGGTATATAGCAACTATGATGAACCTTTAATTTAAATGCTTATTGAAGAAAAAAAAGAAACAAATACATATATTTCAAAGTATAAAGAAAGTTTAGATCATAGAAATGATACAATAAAATATTGGAAAGAAAATAGTATTAAATATCCAACATTATATTCAATTGTAAGAAATGTACTTTCAGTTGCTTCTTCGTCCGTTGAAATTGAAAGAACATTTTCGGGTGCTAAATTGTTGGTTACAGACAACAGATCAAATTTGGGTTGGGAAAGAATAGAACAATGTGTGTTATTAAGGGAATGGGCAAACATTTCAAGAGTAGATATTGTCTAAAACTCTGTCATTTATAATTATTCAAATATTTCAAAAATGGTATGATTAAATAAAATTTTACAAGAATTTTAAACTTTTTTCATAAAAAAAAATAATGTAATTTGAAGTTTTTTTTTTTTTTTTCTAAGTTTTTAAAATGAAAAAATTAGTCAAGTGGGTGGGTGTGGGAGTGGGGGAAACTCAGAAATTTTTTTTTTTTTAGTCAAACTTAGCTAAATTTTTCTCCCTAATTATTCCACAAAAAAATTTATATGCACAACTTCAAAAAAAATCTTTTTCTGCTATTATGTCTAATCAATGAAGGATTCTTAACTTTCTTTTTATATATTATGTTATATCTCTTTAATATAATTCTTACTGACTTGTATGATATTGTTCCAAATCTATTTTGTTCATACCAAATTATACTTTATTTTATATTGTTAAATTTACTATTTTAAAAATTGAAACATAAATCACGTTTATCAAGTTCGTCAAACTTTATTTTCTCCCATGACATTTACGGTCATTGATTGTGCCTGTTTGTTCTACCATTTCTAATGTTTTTGCTACTGTTGATTTATGCACTCCAATTTTTTTGCAATTTTTGAGTTCGACTTGTGACCTATGTTTTTATATGATAATATTGAGTATGGAACTTCATCACTTAACCTCATTTTGTTTATTTACTATATATAATTTTTAAACTTATACTAACACTTAATTATTAAATTAATGATAAAAAAAATATAAAAATTTTAAAAATAAAAATGTGGTAAAAAATATAGAAATTTTTTTTTTTTATTTTTTTATTTTACCCACACTCACTCCTAACGATTTATTTTTAAATATTAATTATTATTGGCGGTAAGGTTCGTCATATATAAATTATTATTGGTAGATCATATTTTATAAATGATTTAATAAAAGTTGGGGGGTCTACATATATATAATCCTGGCACTGTAATAATGCTTAAACTAAAAATACATTATCCTAAAAACTTTGCTCCTTCCACTGCTGTTTTGTTGCCTCTAACCATAATGAAACCATTATCTAATGCTTGTGTAAATAGTGTTTTGATTTAATTATTTTTTAATTAATTTTAAATAATCATTTTTTTTGTGTGAGTTTCATTGTACAATGTATAATAATTTCTCTCAAATTCTTTTTTTTTTTATTTTTTATTTAATTTTTTATTTATTTATTTTTTATAATTAATTAAAAAATATTATTTGTATAATTAAATTGAATAATTAAGAGCAAGTACTTCATTAAAGAGATTTTTGATCAACTATGAGTTCTAATGGTGATACTTGGAATGAAAGTTGAAGTGTTGATTATTGAACCAATATTTACTCTATAACTTTATAAATATTAGTTATAAGTTAATTTACTAATTTTTTTATTTTAATATTTACCTTTAATTAATAAAAAAAATGTATAATGGGAAATCTTTTTAAAAGAGTTAATGATACTCCAAGTGAATGGAAAGAAGCATCTGGAATTTATAGTTTTTAATATACAAAAGACGCATGGATATTCATTTCTTGGAGCCTACTAAAAATGATGAATGCTGCTAATGATGATAATGCTGAGGACCAAAAAGAATGCCGGTGAGGATGCTGATGATGATGATGATGATACTAAGTAAAATTTTTTTAATTCCCAATATGTGGGATAGAGGTCTAGTTGTTCTAAGGTAGGTATATAATTTTTTCTAAAAAATTATTATTATTATTATTATGGTTATAACTATTGCTATTACTATTGATAATACTTTTATTATTAATTTTGCTATTGCTATTGTTACTGCAATGGATATTGCTATTACCATTGCTATTATTAAAACTATTACTATTACTATTGCTATTGGTGTTATTATTTCTAATGATAATGAAATAATAATTGCTATAACTATTAATATTACTATTGCAATTCCTTTTGCTATTGTTTTAACTATTGAAATTGCTACTGATTTTATTAAATTTTTATTTTTATTTATTATTATTATTGTTGTTATTATTATTATTTTTTTTAAAAATTGCTTTTGCCAATAGAGCAAAACATTGATGAGAATAAATAATATGCTAAGGCAAAAATAAAAGTGAAAATAATAATTGATGGAATATCCATTTTTATTTTTTAGTTGATTATGAAAAAAAAAATTATTTTAATATATATAATATTTTTTTATTGAATTTTATTAGATTATTATTATTATTATTATTGAAAAATATTGAATAATAAGCTGATATGAAAAACTATTGAAGAAATAATTTAAAGAAAAAAAAAAAAAAAAAAAAAAAAGAAAAAAAAATTTTTAAAAAAAAAAATTAAATTTTAAAATTTGGATTGAAAATTAAAATTAAAATTATTAAAGAAAATAAAAATAAAAAAATTATAATTAAAATTAAAATTCACAAAAGAAAAATAAAAAAATCAATAATTAATATGAGGCTTTTCGAGTGTTTATTTTTTTATAATGAAAAAATGATTATGTAATAAATTGGTATTTATTTTTGATATTAATTATTTAAATATAAATAATATAATTATATTATTTAAATATGTAGCAATTGAATTATATAATAAATATTTTAAAAGTAAAAATAAAAATAAAAAAAGAATCTATTGATTGTATATTTGTGAAAATATGCTGTTTTTTTTTAAGAACTTGATTTAAAAATTATATTTATTATTTATTTTTGTTATTTAATTTCTGTTATGTTCTGATGAAATTAAGGAACTTAAAAAAACAGTGGAATGATGCATATCTGCCACGAATGCGAACTGGGTTCACAAATAATAATTTCCCAATCTATAAAAAATAAAAAAAAAAATAAAAAAAAAATAAAATAAAAAAAAAAAAAAAAAAAAAGAAAAAAAAAGAAAAATAAATAATATAAAACCACACACAATGGGGATCGAGGTTCATACATTTATTATATTATTATTATTAACTATTTTTATTTTTTTTAAAATTTTTTTTAATTTTTTTTTTTTGTTTTTAATTAAAAAATTAAAAAATAAAAAATTTTTTTTTTTAAATTAAAAAATTTTATTTGTATATAATTTCACACGCCCATATTTCTTTGTATATAATATCAATAAAATTTTTTACATAATAACAATAATATTTCACATTCCATAATATCTTTCATTTTTTTAGATTCATTCTTTAATTAAAAAAAATGTTAGATTTATTATTAAACCCATACCAAAAACCAAGCCCACACCAACATCCACACAACTAATCAAACCACATATTCAAACCCACAAAAAAAGGGAACAACAAGAAAAAGAACATATGGAACAACTAGAAAGAGAACGTATTGAAACTTTACAAAGAGAGTGTCAAGAAAGAGAACAAGAACAAAGAGAGCAAGAACAAAGAGAACAGCAACAAAGAGAGCAAGAACAAAGAGAACAACAACAAAGAGACCAAGAAGAAAGAGAACGTAGAGAAAATGATTATAATTGCGTAAGTTGTATGGAACAATTTTTATTTATATATAATAAATAAAAATTATATATTAATTTAATTTATTATTTAATTGTAGAGAGTAAATCAAGTCGATGTTGAAGATGAAAATCAAAATAATAATCAAAATAATAATCAAGAAAATGATAATAATAATAATAACCGTCCACCTGTTTTAAATAGTGATGATGATTTGAATTCCAACGATTCCTATACCGAGATGGAATATTTTGACCGTATGGATACCGATTAGATTTCGGTTACCGTTCCAAATGGAATTACATTAGATTTCTTGGATATGGATCAAGAATTTGCTGGCCACCAATTCGATAAATACATGGACATGGATCAATAATATATTATCCATTAGGATACGGACTAATAACGAAATCAAATATGGTTAAAACTGAAAATCATCATCATTGGACAAACATTTTCATCATTATCAACATTAATAGATTAAATTATTCATCGCATTACTCTTCAAATCTACAAAAAAACGTTCATGAAGTTATCAAGGCTCCAAAAACAAGCTCTCTAATTGTAAATATTAATATCTACTAAAATATTATTAAATTTGAATATAAAAGAAACTAATATTTAATTTTAATTCTTAAATAGTATAACTATATTTCTTTCTCTTTCAGTATTAAATGTCTGTAAAATTATAGTTCTCACTCTTTCAGTATAATCAGGTTCTTTCTCTTTCAGTATATTCAGGTTCTTTCCAAAATGTCAGTATTAGGGCATTTATATTATTAATGGTAACTATAGTGTTAATATTTACATAATTATTATTTTTAATATAAAAGAAACTAATATTTAATTTAATTATAGTATAATTATAAATCTTTCTCTTTGGGTAAAATCATGTTCTCAATTTAATGTCTTACAATAATTATTATCTCTTTCAGTATATGTTCTTGTTTTATATTATTAAGGGTAACTAAAGTGTTAATATTTAAATATATTTTAAATTTAAATATAAAAGAAATTAATATTCAATTCATATTTAGTTTAATTCTTTTTATTTCAAGCTCAACACGTTCAATTATAAGTCTACATTCTGTATTCATAATTTTAAGGTAACTATAATTTTAATATTTACATAATTATTATTAAATTTAAATATAAAAGAAACTAATATTTAATTTAAAAAATTATTTAGTCTAATTTTAATCCTTTCTTTTTCAATTTCAATACGTTCTTTCGAGTCATTAACCATACTTTGTGCGTTCCATATATTCTATTAAATCGAGGTTTAGTATATTATTTTTAATAGTGGTTTTCAAGTTATTCATTAAACATTGGGTTTTTTTCAGATCACTCATCAAACATTGGGGGTTCAATATATTCTTTTTAATTTGGGGTTTTCAAGTCACTCATCATTCATTGGGATTCAGCATATTCAATTTAATTATGGTTTTCAAGTCATTCATCAAACATTTGGGATTCAGTATATACTTTTTAATCTGGGTTTTCGAGACATTCAAACATTGGGGGTTCAAATTATATTGTTTTTAATTGGGGTTTCAAGTCACTCATCATTCGTTGGGGTTCATCATATTCATTTTAATTGTGGGTTTTCGAGTCATTTATCAAACATTGGGGGTTTCAAATTTTTCATCATACATTGTGGTTTTTTTAAGTCATTCATCAAACGCTGTGGTTTTTTCAAATCGTTCATCATACATTTTGGTTTGGTTTATTCTCTTTAATTGTGGGTTTTCATGTCATTTATCAAACATTGAGGGTTTTTTCAAGTCCCTCATCATTCATTGGGTTTACTTTATTCTTTTTTTTCAGCCCATTCATCATTCATTAGGGTACTAGTACTTTAAAGGTAATTATAAAGTTAATATATATATAAATGAATACTGTTATTAAATATTAATTCTTAATTTTTCAGTTTCAAAACATTATAATATAAATATAAATAATAAGTAATAATGAAAATAAAAAAGATAATAATAAATAATAATAATAATAATAATTAAAATAATAATAATATTCAATAACCTAGATTATAATGTAAATAATTCATCATTCAAAGACATATATAATAATATAAATAATATGTATATATTTTAGTATAAATAATAATCAACTTTATATAGATATAGTGTAAAAAATAGTTAACAAGTGTTTATAGTCAATTATCAGTGTTTACAGAATAATTCGAATAGGTAGCGAAAGGCAGTTCTGGTAAATATTTTAAATTAGTGTTTAGCACATATTCTCCCAGTCAAAAGTAATCAAACGGAATTGATTTTAAAAATTCTTCAATAAAAATTTATCTTTGATCAAAAATAATAATTTAAAATTAATAATAAAAACATTTTATTATTTTTTGTAAAATAACTTATTTCTTAATGACTCTTAATTGTATTATATTATTCATTTGTCGTTATGGGCGATAGCTTCTCTGGGGTTGGAGTACGGCAATATATATCTGCTTCAAGGGGTGTATAGTCTAACTTGATAGGTATGTTAACAAAAAACTCCTTAAAGGGACTGCTTGAGGCAGGCGGAAATATGAGGCAACAACAATGATGCACATAGATACCTTGGGCCGTTTGGGTTACAATGCAGATTATGAATGAATCTATTCCATTTTAATTTCTAAGAGTAACACTAACAGCATAAATATAATTTGGACACAAAGAATTTATTGGGAATAGCACACGATTACAAGTTGTTTCTTGATCTATGTGTAAATATATTTGTTTTGCAATATTAAATTCGATTTTAAATAGATGTAATGAATTGTTAAAAATTTTAGTTGGTCAACCTATTATTTAATATATTAATAAAAATTAATTCGGTTAGTAACACCCAGTGGATGTTGTTTAAATTTTTATGATAATTTACTTACTTGTGATTATTATCGATCGTATTTGCCATGTTTAAAAATATTTATGTGTTTGAAAAAAAAAAAAAAAATTAAAATAGGGGAAAAGTGCTGTTTTTTTTTTTTATTTTAATAAACAAAGATATTTTCCGAGATAATAGTTTGGGTTGATTTTTTTTTTTTTAAATAAAAAAATAATTTGGCTTTTTTAAAATCTATTAAAATTTTTTTTAAAATTTTTTTTTATTTTTTAATTTTATTTTTTTTAATTCAACATAAATAATTTCAATTCACAACAAACACACACATAAATAATTTTAATAATGTAAACTATAGCATAATACAATAAATTTTCAATACACAACAAACAAACACATAAATAATTTTAATAATGTAAACTAAAGTACATCCGATAAATAATAATTTTAACATTAGTGAAAATATGTTTAAAACTTTCGAGAACAAGTAGGTAAATTAATACATTATTTTAAAACAACAATAACAACAAACCCATATACATATAGAAAATGGCATCGTGAAGAAATATAGAAAATAGAAACAGAATTACTAACATAAATTAAAAACATTCAATAGCCCAACAGGATCAGTTGTCATCGATATCATGAATGGGTTTTAAACAATTATATAAAGATTTAGCCAATGTTTACCAAATTCACAGCGAACCTATTAAAAGAGTTTATACTATTTACAAATAATAATAATAAATACCAATCCAACCACAAACCATAGCTCAATAATAATAATAATTTCAAAATACAATCATAAAAAGTCACAAAGTCGCAGAAACTCAAATTCTTTCAATGTCTTTCGATCTCGGGTAAATCAGCTAAGGTAAAATTCAAATCAATTGCAAGTTCATGTAAAGATTTAAAAAATGTTAATGAATGTACTGATCAGCTCTTATTATAGACACTAGTGTGCACGGTTATCATGTATAAAAAAAACATTGGCAAAAAAAAGATTAAACTTAGATCCAACTAAAGACTAAACACCAATGAAGATACCAATCTAATCAACTATATATATGAATCTCAATACATTTGCCTTCGGCCCAAGCAATAAAGATAGAACATAAATAGTTTAGATAAAGAAAACTGTATGAAAACTTCAGCTTTCGTTAATATTGTTCAAATAGTGAAACAATCCAATGGTTTTAACTTATCAAATATATTTAAAATATGATCCAAAGAATTTAGTATATTTGTTTCTCCATTTTATAAAAAATTTTGATCTTTACTATTATTACTATTGTTGCTATTATTATAAGAATACATTTTTATTTTTTTTATTTTTTTTTTTTCTAAAAATAATATTGCACCACCATATACATTATTTTATAATAAACAAAATAAAAATAATAATAAAATAACAATATATGTATAAAAAATAATCCAATCAATATATAAAAATAAAAAATAATTTAAAAATATTTAAAAATTTTACCAATGCTTTTTATTTACTTTCATCCCCCCAAAATTAAATTATTAAAATAAAAAAATTGCAATCAATGTAAGTGCTATTTTTAAAAAAAAAAAATTAAAAAAATTAAAAAAAAAATAAAAAAAAAATAATTTTGAATTTTTTATTTTTTTTATTTAATATTTCATTATTTATAGAATGCACTATTATAATAATAGAAACATAAAGTAATAGTAATGATAAATTTTTTTTTTTCTAAATAGAGAAACAAATATATATATTAAGCGAAATACAAAAACACATCAGTTAAGGTAAATAATTACACATGCTATTTCTAAAATTGTTTAATATATAATGATATACTAATTAAAAATAATACAATTACTAAATTACCACACGTAGACGTATCACCAATAACTAGTTTCAATAAAATAAGTGATTATTCAATGGAATCTATATCAAATGGTAACATGGTACTGTCATTCGTTTTATATTCTATAATCAAACCATAATAATAATAAAGTTGGATGTAGAATTAAATCATGTTCGATACTGTGGAAAATTGGATTCTATTCAATCATCAAGTATGTTATAAAAATATAAATATATAAAGTGATTCGATTCGATTATTAATTTAAATTTTAATTATGAAACAGGTTTAAAGAATATAAGGATTCTATCATAATCATTAAAAAGTATCAAATTATAGAGATTAATTATAATACAGGTAGATGAATATATTAATAAAATCTAGATAAAGTTTTTTTTAGAGACTAATAGAGATGTAAATTTAATTAGTTTACTATACGAAAAGAAAAGAACAGATACACATTTTTGATTTAGTAGAATGTGCATACTCTTTAGATAATATAGAAGCATTGGAGTATTTCCTATCAATGAATGTACCAACATTTTTACCAAACTACACAAATAATAAAAAAAGATTTTCAATATCATCGATTAAATCATTAGAATTACTTTTAAAATATCGAGTAAATATCATAGAACCATATAATATCAATATCAATAATAACAATAATAACACAACAGCAGCTTCATCATCATCATCACCATCATCATTCAGTTTAAACAATATTAATAGTAATAGTTATACAACAACAGTAGCATTAGCATTCAGTTTAAAAAATAGTTATAGTAACAATAATACAACAACAGCAGCACCAGAATCTACAACATTCATTTTAAAAAATAGTAATAGTAACTATAATTTAAATAGTAGTATTAGTGAATATAGCAATCTAAATAATAATAGTATCAGTTTAGCCCGAAGCGCAAGTTGTAGTAGTATAAGCAGTTGTAATATTAATGATAGCAATGGGAGTAGCGGTAGTAGCGGTTGCAACAATAAAAACAGTAATAGCTTTTTAATTAATAATGGTAATATAACACTTCCACCACCACCATCATCATATAGAAATTTAATTAAAAAGAAATTAAATCACCAACAAATCATTTACTACTACATTTAAAAACATTAAATATCGGTAATATTCAAGAGGCATTAGATAATTCAAACATAGCAGACCACTAAAAGATTACCTATGAATTAATAAAGAAATGTCTCAAGTATTCAAATTTTGAAGGTTTAGAAAAACTTATAAAGAGCAATCAGCACATATTCTACAGGTATAATCCATTCGATAGATTCTCTCAATCAGTTTTATGTGGAGGAAAGGATGTATAGTTTAATAGTTAAAATATTCCCTGAATTGTTCAATCCACTATCATATAGCCAATCCTTAGACATTTAATTGTTTTAGAAATCATAAAAATTTAAATCAGCTCATTAAAACTAGGGATTATAATTATTCTCAGTCACCAAGAGAATATTATATGCAAACTGAACCGTATACATTTGATGTACAATAAGAGTAAATACAGAAGAGATGGAGCTGATATTTAAATATCAGAAATTAAATTACATGGTTATCAATTCAGAGTACACATTTCATCATTACCATCAAATACTTCACCAGTTTACAATTATATAGGGCTAAAGGAGCATAAACTAGTAATCAACTGATGAAGTAGAGACCACTGGAACCTGATGCAATACAAACAAAAAATAAATTTGATAATGATGAGAAAAAAAATAGAGAAAGAAAAAGAAAGAATAGATAAAGAACGTATTGAAAAAGAAAAATTATCAAAACACTCTCCAACACAATAAAAATTTACATTCTCAAGTTCAATCTAGGGCAGGTTTACCACAATCAGTCAATGATCCATCAAATATAGATTCTAAATTAAAAATAAATAAAATAAATATACACTTTAAATTTTTTTATTTTTTTGGTTTCATATTTTATCATGTTTTATCATTTTTTATTGATTAGTATAAAATTAAAATAAAAAATTTAATGTTTAAACTTATATTTGTTTTTTTAAATCTTTTTTAACTAAAGGAATATCATCAAGTTCTTCTAAAAAGCTGTTTTTTTTATGTTTGATTGAGTCGAGATTTTTTTCTTGAATTATAAATTGAGGATCTTTATATTTAGTAATATCCATTTCTTCTAAGTGACTGTTTTTTAGATCTCTGACTGAGTCATTTACTTCTATATAACTGTTTGTTAGATCTTTGATTGAGTAAAATAAACATTACAGTTTTAGAGGCAGCATCTTATACATACAGTTTTAGAGGCTTATTATCAAAAAAATCGAGTGATATTAACTGCAAATATCCAAACTAAAAAATTTATAAAAAAAGTTATTAGACCATATATCAATGTATTATTAAACCACAAAATATATTTAACCTATAGATAAAAAAAAATGATAGAAGAACCATTATAAAATGTGAGGAGGTATTACCAAAGCCTCTTTAAAATATAGTTATTTTATTTAATGATTTTAGTTGAATGAATATTTTCCTATTATGTTGCACAAAGTCCAACCAGTGTATTTTTCAAAACTATAGTTTAAGTCATAATGTATTATGAGAGAATACTGGTAGTTTTCATCATAATATGGGTATGCTATATTGCCTAAAAAGATCTTTTTGTATGGAGGACGAAAATTGTAAAATGATTTATCAATCCAACCCAAACCTTGAGAAAAGCCATCACCAAAATATATAGATTCAACAGTATGGGGGATTGAATTATTTTTTAGTTGATAACTGATATTAAATAAATATAATACTTTTACTGATGGGGGTAAAGAATCAAGAGACTGATTAAAACCATCGGGTAATAGAATCTCGGTTACGTTTGGAGGAAATACTGGTGGTAAATGGCTACCGGGATATATGGCAATTAATTTGGTCGAATTTTCAATACTGCAACCATTTTTATATACGAAAAATCTAAGGCCTCTATCTTTATAAATTTTTAAAGTATTACTATATGCTCTATAATATAAAAATAAATATATAGAAATATTTACAAACCATATATTTTTGATGTTGATCTAAAGAATTAGACCCATTAGCATTATTTTGATTTTGAACTAAAGAAAGAAACCCATCAATATTTTTTTTAACTAACTCGAAATTGGACTCATTAGTGAGCAATGATACTTCATTATATTGTGGATAGTTGTTAAAATTGGATAATAACTTTTTACAAATATGACTGCGCTTAACTATTTCTATGAATTGGTTGTTATTCTGATTTTTATTTTTATTGTTATTTTGTGTATTTAAAATATTGTTAACTTTTTCATTACTATCTTCTATTGCTGATATGAAAATATTATTAGCCTCTATATTTTCATCAAGTTTTGTTATTAATAGTTTTTTAAAATCATTTTCTTTAATATTAACAATATCTTTAATTTTATTAAATTCATTTGTTAAAGTTTCTAAATTCTTTGTGTGATTTTCTTGAATTTGTTTTAATTGATTATCTGATTTTTCTAACTGACTATTATTATTTTCCAAAAGTTTGCTTAACTGTGGTAAAGTTTGAGTTATGAAATCTTTGTTTATTTGTTTTTTAAAGTTGATGTTAATATCCTCTAAATCTTTAAAAACATGACCATTATGACTACTTATAATACATTTGCTACATTCCGGAATATTATCACTGCATGTTGAACATATAAAAACTATAGTTTTTTGGGGATGTTCTAAACATGTAGTATCATATTGTATATTTGCTGCCATTATTTTTATAAAAAAAAAATTAATATAATGGTTTATGTGGTTTTTTAATTTCTTAAAAAAAAAAAAATTTTATAAAACAAAAAAAAAATTAATTTATTATTATTATTTGAGCAATAGTTCATGATTGTATTGGTTTTTATTATTATTATTTGTAAATAGTATAAAATCTCTTTTAATAGGTTCGCTGTGCATTTGATAAACATATGCTAAATATTTATATTATTGATTAAAAACCTTTCATTCATAATATCTACGACAGCAGATCCTGTTGGGGGTATTGAATGGTTTTAATTTATGTTTGTGGATCTGCGTCTATTTTCTATATTTCTTCAACGATGCTAATTTCTATGTGTGTGGATTTGTTGTTATTGTTGTTGTTGTTTTAAAATAATGTATATTTTACATTGGTGTTGGAAAAAATAAAAATAAAAATAAAAAAAAAAATTGGGAAAAATTTTAAAAAAAAATTTTATAAAATTATTTGAATTTTAAAAATAAATATCGATACCGTAATGTGTGCCTTTTAAAAAATCTTATAAAAAGATGCCCCATAATTATGTTCATTTTCTATGATTTTTACCATTTAATAAAATAATGTCATTATCATCTAAATTTAATCCTTCATTTATATCTTCAATATTTTCATTTTCTTCATCTGGTTCCATTTCAAATTCTTCTTCTATATTTTCATTTTCTTCATTATTTTCAAATTCTTCATCTGATTCTATTTCATCAAATGTATTAAATTCACTACTGTCAAAACATCCTGAATTATCTTTTTTTTTTTCTAAATCATCTGATTCCATTCCTTCTGAGCTAATATATTGTTCTTTTATTTTATTTAAATTATTTGTATGTTTTAATGAAGTATAGTGTTTTTTTAAATCCATAACCTTATTTTTACATATTTCACATTTTTTTTTTCTTCTTCTTTCCATTTGTAAACTAATACTGTTAATTTTTTTTTTATATTGTTCCTCCATTTTTGCAATCCTTGCCTTATACATTTTTAAAATATTTGTATTATTATTATAATTATTAAATTTATTTTTTTCAATTAAAAAAAAATAAAAATATAATTAATGTAAAATAAAATAATATTTTTTTTAATTTTAAAATAAAGGTAAATTTGTAAATTTGTAAATTTGTAAATTTGTAAATTTTTACATTTGAAAATTTGCACAATATTTTTACTTTCAATAACCTTCACAAAACAATATTAATAAATATTATGGCGCTATCAAAAATGAAATAATTAAATTTCATATAAAATTCACTTTAAATTTTAAATGAATTTTTTATTTTATGTGAACCCAAATTTTTTTATAGTAACTATATTTAAGTGTGCTTTTGATTCTTCTCTTATTTATTAATATTTGAATATTGTAAATGTTTGTATAATAAAAAATATTAGTTCAATTATAACTATGAAAATTTTTAAAAAATAAAGGAAAAAAAAAATTTTATTTTTATTATAAATTTATTAAAAATATTTTTAATAATGTATTTAATTTTTTTTTTTTAAAAAATTATTTTTAATGTGGACCTCTTGTAAAATGCTTGGTAATGTTATGTTCATTTTCTATGATTGTTACAATTTTTACCTTAACTGCAAAATTAGTTTCTAAATTTATAATAAAATTATGTAAATCTATAATTGAAAAAGAGTTTCTAACCTTCCATAACTCATAGTATTTGTTGCTAATACGTAGTCTCTCTCTTTTTTCAGCATCAGACATAGTAGATATGTCCACTGTATCTGAAAGAAAGGTAATATGTTTTTTAGGATTAAAACAATCATTTTTTACCCATGAAAGTATTAATCCGATATGGAACGTCAACCCCCAGAATTTCTATGTTTTTTGATATCAATATGAATATAGTAATCATCTTTAGGTACAGGTTGGTTTTCGGCATTTGGATCAAAGCATTCTTCAGCAGGTACTTCATTTTCCTCCATTTTCCCTAATTCTTTTTTTACTATTTAAAAATAAAAGTAAATTTATTAATAAAAAAATAAATTATTAAAATTTTAATTGATTAAATCTTTACAAGAATTCATATCTAAAAACCCTTTATTTTTATTTTTATTTCTATTTTTATTTTTATTATTATTATTATTATTATTATTATTATTATTATTATTATTATTATTATTATTATTATTATTATTATTTGTATCCATTTTGAAATATTGTTTATAAATAAAATATGGAATTAAATAAAATTAATTTATAAAAAATTTAAAAAAAAAAAATGAACAAAAAAAAATATTAATTGTGTAAACTTAAAAAAAAATATCTAAATAAAACCATAATTTTTAGCCCATTTTTAAAAATATTATTTTTTGTTGATTTTTTTGTTGTAATTTACTATTTTTAAAATTACAAGCTCCCATATTTTTAACTTTCATAAAAAAAAAAAAAACTTTTAAAAAAAAAAAGTAAAATAAAAGAAATCTTTTTATTTTTTAAGTGTTTTTATTTTTATTTTTTTTACATTATCTAAATTATTATTATAATAAAATAAAAGATCAAAAAATCTAAAAACCAAAAAAATCAAAAAAAAAAAAAAAAAAAAAAAAAAAAAGAATTATGTTCTCTAAAAATTTTAGGGTTAATGAAAATAAATGTTTAATTTATTTAATAATTAAAAATAGATATTAATTATTAAAAAAAAAAAATTTTGGATTAGAGTTAAAAATAAATTATTTTTTATTTCTAAAAAAAAAAAAAAAAAAAAATAGGAAAAAAAAAAGAAATTTTTTAAACAAATTATTTTTTTTAAAATTTATTAAAATTATTTTGTTTATTTTAAAATGTATTTTATTTAGTAAGCACAATGAATGATCTTTTTTTTAAAGTTTATCGTAATCATTATCTAAGAAAAATAATATTTTCTTCTATAAATCAAATAAATAGGAGTTTATATTATTTCACTTATGACTATTATAGTATACCATTTGATGTTATAATCAAAACAGATAATAAACAACTATTATTAGAAAGATTAAAATTATACGAAAAATATTTTTACAACACTAAATATAATAATAATAATATAGATAATAATATAGATAATAATATAGATAATATAGATAATCACGATTTAAATATTTATAAATACTACATTGATTTTAATAATTGCGAAGTTATATTTAACTGGAAATCACTCGATTTAGAATGTTTAGACCTTATTATCAAGCTTAATCCAAAAAAGTTAGAATATTCATCAGAAAATAAAAATGCATTGATAAGAAACTGTAACTTGCCAGTACTAAAAAGAATTATTAATCAAGGGTCATTCACACTCAATAAACTAATGTTCAACTATGAAAAATGTTCAAATGATGAAATTATTGAAATGTACAACTATTTAACAACAGTAACCACTGTGACAACAGCTCATTTAGTTCAACTACTAAAACAAATTATTGATGAAAAAAAGACAAAAGAACTTGGTAAATTTTTTATAAATGAAATTGATTCAGGTAAATATCCACAAATACACATAACAATTTTATTTTTTATTTTATATTTTAAAAAACATACTAACCCTTTAATTTTTTAATGTAAAATAGTATCATTTTCAAAAATTGAAATTTTAGATTTATTAGATAAAATTTTAAACTACAACGATTTAGAAATGATAAAATACCTTTTAAATAAATTAAGTTTACAAGATCAATGTAATAGTAGTAATAATGACCAATTTATAGAGATTTATGGATATAAAATTAAAAAAAGCAACATTGAAAACTATTTATCAATTAGAGCAAATAGTTTATTTAATTCAACTTTAGATGATTTAGTTATTCAAATTTTAAGATATTCACCAAGAGACTATATGGTCCAAAAATTTTTAATTAAAACACCAAAAATAGCAGAATTTTTAATTAATAATAGCGACATCGGCACCAACAGAAACTCCAAATTCAGGTTTGGTAAAATGATGTTTTGTGCCAACTGCCTAGAGGATGACTTATCGAATAAAGAACTTTTTGAAAACAAACCAGTCGAATGGAGGATCAACAATATTTCGAATATAGAAAAGTTTGAATACTTGAAGAGTTGGAACCTAATTTTTAGTGATGCATATTTAACAAATGCCTTTAATGGAGATTTAAAATTTTTAATCAACTATTACAAACATATAAATTTAACACCAACATCATCAGTATTAGAAAGTGCTGCATCTTTAGGTTATTATGATATGGTATATTATATTTTAATATCATATCCCTCTGACAAATGGGACATACGTAGTTTGTTTAAAGTTTTAAAACATTGCCTACAGCAAAAAGAAATCGTTCAACTCATAAGAAAAATCGCCTTCAATTCAAAGACTAACTTATTCCAAACAACAACAATGAAAACAAAATTCTTTTTTGTGTCCAATTATGAAGAAAGAAAATATTATTTGGTGCACTAGAGAAATCCCAATCTAATAAAAGAATTTATTAATGTTGTTGCC